AAGCAGGGAATGAAAACCGGCACATCCCTTAGTGAAAAACACCTCACAATGTACACTTGTTACACATGTTACTGGTTAGGCACACATTTAACCCTTTGATCACCCTAGATGTTTAACACCTTCCCAGCCAGTGTCATTAGAACAGTGACAGTGTATATTTTTAGCACTGATCACTGTATTAGTGTCACTGATTCCTACAAAGTGTCAGATTGCCCACCATACTATTTCAGTCCCTCTATAAGTCGCTGATCGGTGCCATCACTAGTATTAAATAAAGAAATAAATAAAAAGTCCAGTATATATACCATAGTTTGTAGACGCTATAACTTTTGTGAAAGCCAATCAATATACGCTAATTGGGATTTTTTTACCAAAATATGTAGAAGAATACAAATTTACCTAAATTTATGAAGAAATTTTATTTTTTATTTTTTTTTATTGGATATGTTTTACAGCAGAAAGTAAAAAAAAATATTGTTTTTTTTTTTAAATTTTTGGTCTTTCTTCATTTATAGCACCAAAAATAAAAAAAACCCAGTGGTGCTCAAATACCACCAAAAGAAGGCTCTATTTGTGTGAAAAAAATTATATAAATTTCATTTGTGTACAGTGTTGCATGACTGTGCAATTGGCAGTAAAATTAATGCAGTGCCAAAAACCAAAGAATGGTCATGAGGGGGGGGAGGGTAAATCTTCCGGAGGTGAAGTGGTTAAACCCTAAAGGGTGTCTCTGGCTATAAGAAAACTCTGTAGGTGATCATGGTGATGGCATTTAGTAGTTAAACTCCTTGCCTTCAACCTTCTGCTAGCTATGCAGTGGGGTCCAGTCTTTATGGTGGTGCACTTAAAGTAGTTCTAAAGGCTGAAGGTGTTTTACCATCATGCATTCTATGCTTCAAGGTAAAAAACCTTCTGTGTGAAGCAGCCCCCCCAATCCTTACCTGATCTCCCTCCGATCCAGTGACAGCCTCTGAAGTCTGGGGACTCTTCCTCCTCATTGGCTGAGACAGCAACGAGAGCCCATTGGCTCTCTGCTGTCGATCCCAGCCAGTTAGCCAATGAGGAGAGAGAGGGGGGTGGGGCTGAGCCACGGCTCTATGTGTCTTGTGGACGCCAGTGGCTTTCCCTGGGGACACTGCTTGAGGAAGCAGAGCCAAGAGCGCTGAAAAGAAGAGGATCAGATTATAAAGTGTAAGTGCATTATTGAAATATTTTACCTATGTATTTGCTTGTACTATGTTGTTTTTTTTTTCGGGAAAGAGGTAGCCAAAACATACTTTTTTGTTTCTTATGTTTCTCAGGCTGCCAAGCTGCTTACAGACTCTAGATGTCAGCCAGCCATACATGCACAATCTGGCCTTTCCTATGAATGGTTGCTGTACAAACATACATTTTTGCAAAAGATGGAGTTGACCTTTGTAGGTACCCCCATGGCCGTGGTATTCATAGCATTGGATGGTTGTGTTTTCTATATCCCAGTTTCCAGAGCTTTAATGGTGTACATTTAGGCCTAGAATTTATGTGCTGCCCTTCCAAGGCTGCTTTTCTTCATTCCTTGCGTGTTATCTTGACAGAAAGTCCTCGGCAGTCATTTTGCTGGAGCTTGGAGCCACGCAATATGGTGCCTGCCTGGCAGTACTGAGAGTTCTGTAGCAAATTATCTAGAAAGGAACTGACAAGATGGGACAGGATATAAAGATGCCAAGGCCTCTTTGTGCCACATGCTGCAGGCTGATGAAAGAATGAAGACGCTGCATGAGAGATACATATGGAGTGGGAACACAATGTACCATGAAGAAGTCAATAGAGTTTTGTTTTCAATATAAATGTAATCTTGTCAATAAATGTGAATGTTTTAGATAACTTGTTTCTGTGTATAGCTTGCAATTATATGTGCACATGGTGGCCATATTTGCTTTTTACATAAGCACGTGGTGCACAGTGATGCTGCTTTAATGATCACAGCCATGGTTTTGTTGGGTGCTTGAATACAATAGCCTGACAGAGGAGATTCCTCCATCCATGTTGTTTAGCGTGGATGAGGGATTTGATTGAATTTGCTCATTCAGCCAGTGGGGCTGAACAAGAAAAATCTAAGCATGTATGGCCTTAGTTTTCTCAGACTGCAAAGGGCTCTTTGTGGGGTTAGTTGATAACAATGATTAAATTTTACTGTAAGTGATTCAAACCACCAATCTTAATCATTGGCTGGAATATCGCTTTTGGATGGAAAAAGCCCTTTAATCTAAGTCACATAAGCAACTTGCACACCAGGAAAGCTACAATCACTAAAGATAGCCATAGACGGTTCAGCAGGGACTGGCCGGGATTCAAAACATGTATGGGCAGGCTGAATGTACGCAAGTTGATCGATCAATGAACTTGGGTACAACCGGCCTGTTGGATTTTACATGAGATTATTGTTAGTGACTATTATAGCCACTAGCAATAATCACTGTATTCTCCCATTGGGGACGACTCCCCCTGCTCCTCACTGGGAGAACACAATGGCTCTGCTGGAGGGATTCCCTAATCAACACTGACTGTTGATGGGGGAATCAAGCAACTTTCTTTCCTGCAACCCATGGTTGCAGGAAAGAAAATCACTCCATCTATGGCTGGCTTCAAGCCTCGTTTACACTTGCTGTGGGAGGGCAGAAAAAAATGCATGGTTGAGACCCAAAAGCTTCTTCTTAAGCTGCAAAGCCAGCACAGCCATAAAGCTTTGCATCGCATCAGAGCAAAAATTATCCCCGCTGTTGTGTTCATGACCAAATGTGATCCATCCAAATGAGAGGTGATACTCAACCGCCCCAAAACTGTGCACAATGCAGTCAGTTGCAGTGTGCTGGTGCAGGATTTATGGGGTAAAAACAGCTTTCCAATGTGCAATGCAAATGTACACAAAGCCTGAAGTCTCATATAATCATTAACATGTGGATCTAACTTTAAGCTGTCTTAAAGTGTTACTAAACCCACAACAGTACAATCAGTCTGTATATGCAGTAAAGCATGCTTGTTATACTCACTGTGGAACCTAAGGGGTTAATCCACTGCAGTGTGTAAAAAGGCTGTTTGACCCTGTCTTCTTTGATCCTCCTCCTCTCTTATCCCCTGATAGGAGATATCATGTGGAGTCACTCTGCACATGCTCAGTTTAGTGTTTATTGCTAGAGAGGTTTTTTTTTTTCCTCTATGGGAGGATGCATGTGATCAGCACAGAGCCAATCAGCACTGTCCAGACAGAGGTCAGGGGTTCTGCATCCACCTAGAGCAAAATGAAAACTCCTCCTACAAGCTTTAACATGTGCTCTGCTGGACACTAATAGAAGTCACAAGACTGCTATATACTGCTGATGAGAAAAGGTATTTAGCAATTTATATTTACTAAAATAATTGCACTTCCATGTTCTGTGTAGTGTGGGAGACCAGATATAGTGAATGCAGGGTCCGGGGAGACCAGATATAGTGAATGCAGGGTCCGGGGAGACCAGATATAGTGAATGCAGGGTCTGGGAAGACCAGATATAGTGAATGCAGGGTCCGGGAAGAACAGATATAGTGAATGCAGGGTCCGGGAAGACCAGATATAGTGAATGCAGGGTCCGGGAAGACCAGATATAGTGAATGCAGGGTCCGGGAAGACCAGATATAGTGAATGCAGGGTCCGGGAAGACCAGATATAGTGAATGCAGGGTCCAGGGTTTTGAAACACTTTAAATTGATTTAAACCCTATAGCTTTTATTAAGATAATTCCATGAGATCCTGCCACGAGGTTCCTTTTTCAGGCATTTCCTGTAATGGGGTGAGAAAGTTCTGTCCCTGTTTCCACATTGCTCTGTTGCATTGTCATCCTGTCTTGTGCACTTCTGGTGGAGACTGCAAGTAGCCATGCCCATGCTCATTGTGCTGACATATGCCACCATTGTCACTTTCATAAAGCCAGTCCCAAGCAATGATGTGCAGCTGATGCTGGAGTGAGCGCATGTGGACAGGAAGTAGACTATCAGCACCCCTAAGATGCAGCAAAGGATGACAAAAGGTGAAAACTGTGCTTTATTAAACTTAATGTCACCTTGCTAGGGGTTGATTTCTAATTTCAAGCATAGCATAGCATAGTAAAGTTCTTGCCTAGTTGTGTTTCACACCGCCTCCACACTAGAAAACCTTTATTGTAATGTCAAGGGAAATTTCAGCATCAGCAGCATTTCTGGAGTCTCTACCTCGGCATTTAAATTCTCCTGCTTTGCATGTAGTTAGCAGCGCATTCTCTTACAGCCTTCATGACAAACACAAAGGTACAGCATTTGCATTTTTACACGCCTATATCTGGCATTTTAATGCTGAGATATATACAATGGAGCTTGTTAATAAAAGCTGAAGGAGGGCAAAATATTTGGGTTGTTTATAGCAACCAGATCTAAGCTGTCAGTCTGTCAGTGTGATGTGCCTGCCTTCTTGTTTTATTTAGAGCTGCAATGGTAAATTAAATGCTGATGGTTTTACAGAAATGTCATGTTCTTTTAAGGGTCAGCACTTAAAAATAAAAGGGTCCCTGAACAGGGTGTGAAACTAATAAGGAGCAATGACTGACTACAACTCCTTCCTGTCTCCAATGTGCTGTAACTACAGCTTAAAGCCTGACTTAAAGTGATACTAAACCCCAGACCCTGCATTCACTATATCCGCTCTCCCTGGATCCTGCATTCACTATATCTGGTCTCCCTGGACCCTGCATTCACTATATCTGGTCTCCCTGGACCCTGCATTCACTATATCCACTCTCCCCGGACCCTGCATTCGCTATATCTGGTCTCCCCGGACCCCGCATTCACTATATCTGGTCTCCCTGGACCCTGCATTCACTATATCTGGTCTCCCCGGACCCTGCATTCACTATATCTGGTCTCCCTGGACCCTGCATTCACTATATCTGGTCTCCCTGGACCCTGCATTCACTATATCTGGTCTCCCCGGGCCCTGCATTCACTATATCTCGTCTCCCCGGACCCTGCATTCACTATATCCGCTCTCCCCAGACCCTGCATTCACTATATCCGGTCTCCCCGGACCCTGCATTCACTATATCTGGTCTCCCCGGACCCTGCATTCACTATATCCGCTCTCCCCAGACCCTGCATTCACTATATCCGGTCTTCCCGGACCCTGCATTCACTATATCTGGTCTCCCCGGGCCCTGCATTCACTATATCCGCTCTCCCTGGACCCTGCATTCACTATATCCGTTCTCTCCAGACCCTGCATTCACTATATCCGATCTCCCCGGACCCTGCATTCACTATATCCGGTCTCCCAGGACCCAGCATTCACTATATCCGGTCTCCCTGGACCCAGCATTAACTATATCTGGTCTCCCCGGACCCTGCATTCACTATATCCGGTCTCCCCAGACCCTGCATTCACTATATCCGCTCTCCCCGGTCCCTGCATTCACCCAGCTCTCCCCGGACCCTGTATTCACTATATCCGCTCTCCCCGGACCCTGCATTCCACTATATCCGCTCTCCCCCGGACCTGCATTCACTATATCCTCTCTCCCGGACCCTGCATTCACTATATCCGCTCTCCCTGGACCCTGCATTCACTATATCCAATCTCCCCGGACCCTGCATTCACTATATCCGGTCTCCCCGGACCCTGCATTCACTATATCCGGTCTCCCCGGACCCTGCATTCACTATATCCGGTCTCCCCAGACCCTGCATTCACTATATCCAATCTCCCCAGACCCTGCATTCAGTATATCTGGTCTCCCCGGACTCTGCATTCACTATATCCGCTCTCCCCGGTCCCTGCATTCACTATATCCACTCTCCTTGGACCCTGCATTCACTATATCCGGTCCCCCCGGACCCTGCATTCACTATATCCGGTCCCCCGGACCCTGCATTCACTATATCTGGTCCCCCACAGTACACAGAACATGGTCTTCAGCAGAGCACTGGTTAAAGCTTGTAGGAGGAGTTTTCTTTCTGCTCTAGGAGGATGTGAAGCCTCTGACCCTCTGACTGGACAGTGCTGATTGACCCTGTGCTGATCACATGCACTCTCCCAAGAAAAAAAAAAACCTCTCTAGAAATACACACCTAACTGAGCATGTGAATGTGACTATGTATTCAGTCTGTATCACGTGGTCATTTCAACAAGAGGAGGGGCAGAAAAGACAGGATCAAACAGCCTTTTTACACAATGCAGAGAATTAACCCCTTAGGTTCCACAGTGAGTATAACAAGCATGCTTTACTACATATAAAGACTGATGTTACTGTTGTGGGTTTAGTAACACTTTAAGGGGAGCGTGTGTCCAGTCTCATCTGAACTGACCCATGTCCAGGGGCGGACTGACAATTTAGAAACTCGGGCACTGCCCGAGGGCCCGGGGTCAGTAGGGGGCCCCATGAGAGATGCCCCTGGTACCTTTTTCATAGGCTTTTTTGAGTTTGGGCAAGGACACAGGGGCCCTATGATCCCCTATTGCCCAGGTGCACCATGAGTTGTCAGTCCGCCCCTGTCTGAGATAAACAAGCATATGTATATGAACAGACAACAGGTCCAGTTTGGTGACTGACGCAGAAGTTGAGACCGAGGCTGCATTTATATCAAGTCCACTGCGTTTAGTTTGCTTTGATGCACATTAAATGCACTTGAATTGATATGCATTGACAACTGATTTTTTTAATGAATTGCACTGATTGCATTTTGTTATGTGTTGCAGGATGTGCAGGAGGACAAAAGTCAAAACGTTATTTTTCTTTCAATAATGTGTTTTCTGCATGGAATGAATGGCACTGCAACACACCACAAGGACAGCCTTGGCATGGGTTATGGTAATGTGTGGTAAAATGCGTAGCCGACAAGCCAGCCTTGAAGAACTTCAACATGGATTGGATAAAACACAGACACAGTAGCAGCTCCATAGACTATCTTTCTTCCCTGCTTCCCATCAGTTTCACTGTCCTTCATCCTTTCTTCAAGTCTGCACTCACATATTTTGTTTTGCACAGCTTAACATATTCTATGAACGCAAAATCTACAGACACGTCTTAAATGTAAACAATGAAGTTCTCTTATTTGGTCCTTTTGGTCTGTTAAATATACCTTTGTGTTTTGTCATATCTGCTGTGAACTCAACCTCGCTTTTCATGTCTTGGACTAGAGAACAACTGGCCCACATTTTGTGGCAATGAGAGAGGAGGGATTGTGTGGTTTAGGAAAAGACAACTAGGTGGGGCTGACACCATTTTTTTTTTATTTCACTCTACAACCTGTGCTGTCAGCCAACAACAGGATGTTAGGAGCCGAGTCCATTTTTGGTAGAGCAAGAGATATAATATTATTATACAGGATTTATATAGCGCCAACCAGGGGCGGACTGACAACTCATGGGGCCCCCGGGCAATAGGGGATCATGGGGCCCCTGTGTCCTTGCCCAAACTCAAAAAAGCCTATGAAAAAGGTACCAGGGGCATCTCATGGGGCCCCCTACTGACCCCGGGCCCTCGGGCAGTGCCTGAGTTTCCAAATGGTCAGTCCGCCCCTGGCGCCAACAGTTTGAGCAGCACTTTACAATATAAGGGAGTACAATTACAGTACATTTCAGTGCAGAAGGAATATGGGGGCCCTGCTCGTGGAGCTTACAATCTAAATAGATTCTGTACTTGCAGGGTCTTTAAAAGTTTTTTTTTTTCCTTGAAATACACTGTGGGGGTTAAGGGGCAGCACAGTGGCTAAATGGCTAGCACTTCTGTCTGGCGGTACTAGGGTCATTGGTTCAAATCCCAGCCACAGCACCTCCTGACTGGAGTCTGCATGTTCTCTCTGTGCATTATGGGCTTCCTCTGGGCACTCTGGTTTCCTCCCACACTCCAAAGACATGCTGGTAGGTTAATTGGATCCTGTCTAAATTGGCCCTAGTATGTGTATGTATGAATGTAAGTTAGGGACCTTAGATTGTACACCCCTTGAGGGTTAGGGACCTTAGATTGTACCCCCCTTGAGGGTTAGGGACCTTAGATTGTACACCCCTTGAGGGTTAGGGACCTTAGATTGTACGCCCCTTGTGGGTTAGGGACCTTAGATTGTATACCCCTTGAGGGTTAGGGACCTTAGATTGTACGCTCCTTGAGGGTTAGGGACCTTAGATTGTACGCTCCTTGAGGGTTAGGGACCTTAGATTGTAAACCCCTTGAGGGTTAGGGACTGATGTGAATGTACAATATACATGTAAAGCACTGCATAAATTGACAATGCTATATAAGTACCTGAAATAAATAAATTTACTAAAACTGAAGAGCACACAATCTGGTGAAGCTCAGCATAGAAACCAATCAGCTTCCAGGTTTTAAATGCCAAAGCTTAATTGAAGATGCCGAAGTTAAAAGCTGTTTGGCTCCCATGCACAGCTACACCAGATTTTGAGTGCTCCAATTTTAGAAAATCTCCCCCTGTATGTCACTGCCTTTAACACAAGAAAACTGCCTCTAACACAATGTCACTGCCTCTATAACACAAGAAAACAAAACTGAGCCACATACAATTGTTACACAGGATCAGAACGTGAGCACAAAGCATTAACATAGTGCAAGCCTAAGGTGATATTAAAACAACAATTTAAAGTAAAATGTATCAGCATTTGAACACATTTAAGTTTCATTTTCTGGGGTGTAGCAGAATTTCACTTTAAAGGTTTGTGAACACAGATATTTGATTGCATTATACAAAATACAGGAATGAAGTCTGAGAACAAAATGCTGCCTATTGTATTGCCGTTCAGAGCCTTCCCTAATCAGATTTTTTACTGCCTCATTCAGCTTTCATTGTATTTTTTATTCCCTGGTCTTTGCACAAACTTTGAAAAAAAAAAGAACTTGAAAATGGATAAAAACAGGAAAATAATAGTAATCATATGTAATAAATTGGCTTTGTTTTAATCTGCTTTCCACCCACCAAGGTGTAAAAAAAACCCCACCTAAATCATAACTGCTACATGTCAAAGACACCATGGATATGTATGAGAGGACAGACATGGTCTGTAAGGTAGGATACATGGTCTGGGATGGGGTCCACATCAATGTGATGGCTAAGTCTTATCATGTTTACATTCTAGTGCTGGGTCATAGGCATGGGCGGACTGATCATTCGGGTACTCGGGCACTGCCCAAGGGCCAGGGGTCAGTAGGGGGCCCCATGAGATGTCCCTGGTACCTTTCATAGGCTTTTTTTTTGGGTGTGGTTTGAGTGTGTGCGAGGACACAGGGGCCCCATGATCCCCTATTGCCCGGGGACCCCATGAGTTGTCAGTTCGCCCCTGGTCATAGGTTGTAATAGGTAGGTATAGCAGATAGTAAAGTGCTTTAGGAGCACAGACTGTGTATGGTACAATGTGTGATAATGGTTGGCTCCTTGTTGAGCAGGGATAACTGCTGTTAAAGTGCTGTTTACCATTTGCAACCGCCTATTGGTTGCTTGGAGGATTTATGTTTTTACACCACACTTGAATAGAATTTTAATAAAAGCTGAACTCCAGGCAAATAGTTTAATACACAGGTATACTACATATATGGGAACTGTTTTATTTACCAAAGGACTTGTGTTTCTGTCCATCCATTTTCTGTCCATCACAGCCCTGTGACACAACGCAGCCCCATATGGTAGGTGAACTAATTTTCCTCTGCTTCAGTTTTACTTTCACAGGTCTCAACCCCACCTTTTGACTGGACAGTGAATGGAAAAGCAGCAGACTGGTGAGCTCACCTCACTGTCACACTCCTCCAGTTAGTATACTGCTTGCACTGCACCACACTCCACCATGACTGGACAGTGAATGGAAAAGCAGCAGACTGGTGAGCTCACCTCACTGTCACACTCCTCCAGTTAGTATGCTGCTTGCACTGCACCACACACACTCCACCCCACCCTATGACTGGACAGTGAATGGAAAAGCAGCAGACTAGTGAGCTCACCTCACTGTCACACTCCTCCAGTTAGTATGCTGCTTGCACTGCACCACACTCCACCCCAACCTATAACTGGACAGTGAATGGAAAAGCAGCAGACTGGTGAGCTCACCTCACTGTCACGCTCCTCCAGTTAGTATGCTGCTTGCACTGCAGCACACTCCACCCCACCCTATGACTGCACAGTGAATGGAAAGGCAGCAGACTGGTGATCTCACCTCACTGTCCCACTCCTCCAGTTAGTATGCTACTTGCACTGCAGTACACCCGTGTGGCTCCTGGTGCTGCTTCCCTCTTAGCACAAGGACTCACACGGCTGTAAAATGGCACAGCAGAGGGCGCCAGACTAAGTGCAGTAGTATACGCACAGTTTTCATTAAAAGACAATTGCCAACTCACTTTTAGCTGTAAACACAAACATGTCTCCATGATTTAAATTTCTGTTTTCCATGGGTCTGCAAGGTGGATTGTAAGGATGCTGCTGTTGCCACCAGCAGGATCAGATGCCACTGTAAGATGGGCCAAGTAATGCCGAGAACCAGGCTAGAACACACAGGGGCACTGGACCAGAAATTACATCATCATGGGCAGAATAGGAAGCAGAGGGGCATGGTTATGTGTTTCAAAGCCCTGCGGCTTCTTCCTCAAACCATTAAACTCACACAGGTGTACTTCAATCTGAGATCTGCTGTACAGGGACTACAAGAGGCTGATACCAAGTCAATTTCAGGAAATTGCATGTATTAAAAAAAATACATGTTCAGCTTTATTCTGAATAGAGCGGCTGCTCCCAAATGAGGGGTAGGTAGAGGACATCCACAAAGACTGGGATCAGCACCTGAGAGTAAGGCAAAGAATGATTGATAAGCGGCTATCAACTGCCTGACCTGCAGCCAAATGCCTAGTGAAGAGCACCAACAGGCAATCAACCTGTAAGCTGAAGCAGACCAACGGGCAACAGGCAAGTTATT